CCTTGCTTATTTTAGCCCTTCCCTTCCTGTTTCTCTCCTGCCAGTGCCTAAGGGGACTTAGGAACAAGAACCAACCCTAGTAAAGCATTCCACCCAGGCAAGTGATGGCACTGATCTTCCCCACACCTGGCCTTTGGCCCACACCCTTTCCATAACAATGGCAGCTTAGTCAAACTGAGAACTAAGGTTTGGTGGAGCACCAAAGGTTTAGTGTCACTGTTTTCCTCCAGCCAGAATTTGGATGTGGAAGAGGTATATACCAAAGAAAGCAAAGGAGTGATTGAATTTCGGGTGGCTGGCATTGCTAATCTATAAAACAACTACTAAGAGTTTAGTATTGTTCACCCACCAGTTTAGCATTTTCATAAAAAGTTGGTGACAAAAATGTTTAGCTGTTATGTATTTCCTTCACATTTATCAACATCTATAGGGTATAATCTTCTTTTCAGTAGCAATGTCAGATTAGGCCCAAATAAGGGCGTAGTGAATATTTTCATTGATATCTGTAATGGAGATGCTATGTTGTCTTAGTTATATTCAGGCTAATCAAGTATCTGTAGTGTTACTAGCCTTCAACATAACCCGCGGGGGCGGGGAAGAGGGGGTAGGGATGATTACTAGGTACCTACCACTGGCAGGTCAAAGTTCAAGAAGGAAAGAATGTGGCAGGAAGAACTGTGCATTCTAAGGAAATTGCATATGCAGTTATCGCAGATTCCAGTTAGTGATGAGTTGCTTGCTTTATTCTCTAGTCCATCCCCTATTTCATCTTCACTCCCAGAAAGAGCAGCATAATGGTGAGATTGCTTAGATGTTCTGGAATAGGAATTTGAATGAGGGGATAAAGAGCAGCATAATGGTGAGATTGCTGCTTAGATGTTCTGGAATAGGAATTTGAATGAGGGGAAGAGGCTTGGTGAATGAAGAGTAGGAAGCTTTTAACAGGAATGTCAAAGTAGTAGTGGAGTGGGAATAACTAAGCAGCTTCATTTGATTACAACTCATTTGCAGTGGGCGGTTAAGGCAGGCACCAGGCCAGCATCACCACTTTATAAATAATAAATCTGTGGTGGTGATGTTGTGAAAGACACATGGTAAGGTTGCATCAGCATCGGTATGGCGAAATATTACAAAAAGGGTGAGACTGTCTGGAGAATCACCTGTTTGGAAAGGGATCAGGCTACAAATTACGTTCAGAATACCTTGAATGTATAGCGTAGCTATAATCTGGAATGTAACAGTGGGAACAAAAGTCATCAGCCAGAGATGGCGTATATGCTAGGATATTCACAAAATACTCATATAAGGGTATTCATTGGTATTTAGCATATAGTATTTCTGTATTGAGGAAAATAGCAAACTGAAAGCATACCTCATTTCTGTTCTTCAAGAGCCAATTTCACCTGTTTGCTACTTTCTTACAACTTGAAAGTGTGCAGCCAGTAACTGATCCTTAGGATGCCTTTTGCCATTATAGCAAAAGGATTAAAGTAGAAACCAGCTATTGAGAGAAGTGAGAATGTTAGGAAATGTTTACCTCCTACCTCATCCTTTCCCTTAATTACCTCTTACCTCCTTCCAAATGGTCATGTTATTTACGTCACCCATCATTCAGGGAAGATACTATCAGTAAACCAACGTGGCCGCACACAAATGCCATTTTCCTCAGCTGACATCTACAAGATAATTATCTTTGTCTAAACAAGTTGCCAATTTTTCACTAGGAGGGGGGGTAAATTTAGAATATGCAGTCTTCCAATTGACACTATTGACCAGTGAAAGTTGACAAGATCTAGATGCTTATATGAACTAGCTCAACCTTGTTTCATTTACAAAATCCACAAGAAATTAAGGGGGGAATTATATGAGGATAGGTAGTTTATTATAAGAATTTACTTCTTAAATTACAATGGAAATGTCTCATGCAATACATTGGGAATTCATTCTTGAATAATACTAATAATTGATTTCTTCTTGAAGGAAAAACTATATCCAGCAATTCAGATATGGCAGAGGTGAAGTCCATGTTCCGGGAAGTTCTTCCAAAACAAGGTATTTAAATAACAATTACTTAAGTGATAGGATATAATAGGAACATAAAAAGTAATAGGCAGGGTCACATAGTAGGCTCAATAGCTAAGAATATGAAACTACTGTGTTCTGTGTCCCACATTTACTGTCCATCAATCGCTTTATTTTTCCCAGTAAAAGGATGACAAATGAAGCAGTTTCTTAAACCTAGAAAGCCTGTTATATTCAAGATTGCAGGTTACAACCAAAATTCTTAATGAAAAAGTGCACTGTAATACACCATAATCTCTATATATGTGTGTGTGTGTGTGTGTGTAAGCCTAAGCGACCATTACTACCAAACGACCAGAACACCTGGTCAACCAGTTGCTATGACACACACTGAACACCAGGGGGCAGATGCTCAATGCAGGAGCTGGCCCCTGGTGGTCAGTGCACTCCCACAGCCAACTTCCCGCGGCCCCTCCCCGTCTGGCCGGCCCCCATCGGCCCCTGGTGCTAAACCATTCGTAGAGCTGGGTCGGGGTTTCATAGGTAGCAGAGCAGCTCCCTTGCTGTGATCTATTGAAAGTCAGCCCTGGACACAAGGGTTTGTCTTGCTCCCGTCCTCTCCCTTCCCCAGGGGCTGCCCGCCTGCCGAGGTGGCGGTGTGGAGGCGAGGGGAGGAGGAGGGGTGAGGCGGGGCACCGACAGTGGCATTGGCGTCCAGTGTCCGTTCCTTCTGCACCTGGCTGCACCTGGCCCCGCGACTGTCATCTCTCCAAGCCCCGGCTGGGACAGGGAACCAGGGGTGGGTGGTGGCAGATGCGGCCCCTTTCCCAGGGGGGCCAAGGGCCGGCTCCCTCCTCGGGGCCAGCGGCCAACCTCCCGTGGTCCCTCCCCCCCACCTTTGTGCATGAATTTGTGTACCGGGCCTCTAGTATTAAATAAGGTCTGAATCTGGGTAAAACAAAACAAAAAACAAACACAAAAAAAACCCTAAATCAAACAATAGTAAGAAATGCTGAAGTTTTCAGTGGAACACTCAGGAATTTGAAATATTTGTGTTAAATTAATGCCATACTTCACTATGTAAGTATTTTTAGGTACTATGCATTTCTTCCAAATCTTTGGTGTCTTTATATAACTTAGAATCTTAGCTATAAAGTTTGAAACTTGTCTTCCTCATGAACTCCCTAGCATTAAATGCTTTTATGTTTATAAAATTTAGAAATGTTACAGGGGTAGACTATGAGAACAAGAGATTTTCATTAATGGGTTACATTTTTAGACCTTCATTCTAACTGCAAATCCAAACTGCCAAACAACTGGATTATCTCAATCAAATTCTTATTTCTTTTTAAATTTAGGGCAGTTGTCTGTGGAAGATATAACCACAATGGTGCTGTGTAAACCCAAACTTTTACCCTTAAAATCTCTAACTATGGAAAAACTGGAGAAAATGCAGCAAGCAGCACAAGAAACAATTCGCCAACAAGAAATGGCAGAAAAGGACCAACAGCAAATGACTCGCTGAATAACTTAGCACTTCTACCTTACTATTAACAGTAGCTAGAAAATAATCCACCTGTATGCTGAAAGTAGTATGTGTTAATAAAACTGATATTCATATAGGTAATATAAAGTACCCAAGACTAATGAAACCTGCATGGTTTGTAATGAACATAAGCCATTAACCAAACTAACCCAAATCTTGTGTTTTTTTTACCCAAGTTTTTAGAACTACCAATTAGGTTAGTGTTCACCATTACCATTACACAGCTGATACCATTCTTAGGCATAAGTGACTAAATACAACTTTTATATTCAGAGAATTTTTAATGTTTATTAAAAACTGAATTTAGAGATACATTCAAATCTTGCATTAAGTGTTCAAGATGGACTTTTACATTACCTAATTTTTAAAACTTTTTATGAATTTGGTGTGACATATCATGTTTAAGGCTATTTTGCCTTAAACAGATCCTACTAGTCATGACAAAACTCTATTTCTTAAAATAAACTTAAGAAACCCTCACATGAGCTTTTAATTATACTGATTTCAAGGACTTAATGAATTACTGGCTACCTTTATCATCCAGGTATCAAAACCCTAGAAATGGAAAACAACATGGATTTAAAAGAGCCCATGAGATAAACATGAAATTCAATCTGTAGTGTTAGTCCTAAAAGAGTGTACTGAAACCTATAATAAATATATTCCCAAAAATACCTTTGTAAATTCTGAATATAATCCTTGGTTGGTTGGCTGCAATCAGTAATAGACAATTTAAATTAGCAGACCTTAAGGCCTTCCTGCATAATTAAAGCTCTGCAAAAGAAGTTAGAAATGTGATCATTCTTCAGATAATTATTTATTGGTAACTACTATTTTCTCAGACACTGAATAAATGCAAAACTTTGAGTCTTGAAGAATAATATTTTGAGACATTATTTGGTAATAGAACTTACTAATGATGAAAAAAGGCCCTGGCTGGTTTGGCTCCGAAGGGTCTCAGGTTCAATTCCCAGTCAAGGGCATGTACCTGGGTTGCAAATTCAATCCCCAGACCCTACTAGGTCGGGATGTGTTCAGAAGGCAACCAATTGATGTTTCTCTTCTCTTCTCTCTTTTGCTAATCCCTTCCTTTTCCCTTCCCTTCATCCCTTCCACTCTCTCAAAAAATAAAAATAAAAATAAAATAAATGGAAAGAATATCCTTGGGTGAGGATTAACAACAACAAAAAAAGAATGATGAAAGGTAACATATATTTTAGAAATTTCATTAGGCTATAGATAAAAACTTCTTTAAAGTGTGCATGCATTTCCCAAGTATAATAGTAAAAGAAATTATTACTATTGTATTTTTGATATAAAAGTTTGTAAGAAAGTTTAAATTCACTAGGTTCAAATGCACTCTCTTATATGATTTTATTTGCTATATGAATAAAAGTATTTTTAAAAACCTAAAATAAATGTACTCCCAATAAAGAATCAACACTGTTTCACATGTTTTATTTTGTCATACATTCTTCTAGAACCGGGTTCATTTTTCCAGTTTTGTAGAAAAATAAATGTTCCAGCCACCATTTACTTAACTGTCTAGTCTTTAAGACCAATCAATATGTTCCCTGGAAAGATGAATAAGTCTCCTGACTAACTCATTTTCTTAAAATTCTTTAAGACAAAGAAATAACTTTTTTTTTTTTTACTCCCAAAGCACAGTATTTCAACAGCAGCAGCCAAAATGGGGTTTTAGCAGCTTAACTTTACCCCCTAAATAAAGCTTTGTATAAACCAGTGATTTTACTACAAAAACACTGTCCTTGAAAGAAAGGAATAGCAATCTGACATCAATGCAAAACTTGGAATGATTAGGTCATAAACATGGCACTTACAAAAGGTAGCTTATGAGAACACTCCACTTAAGAAGTGGTTACTTTTCTGTCCCTCCTTTACACTGTCAAAAAAAAAAAAAAAAAAAAAAAGGAAACACTTCCTTTAAAAATTCCCCTTAAAGTTAAGTCTATAAAATTTCAGAAATGCCTTGTACCCAAAACAAGTGTTTAAAAACAAACAAAAAAACTGTGCTAACAACTCTTACAATTCAGAGATATATATATATTTTTATAACATCTAAGACTGCAAGAGTTCTTATATTCAGTAGCTCTCTGGTTTAAGACGACCTCCATCTCCTTCACTTACAAAACGTTTTCTGCCCCTGTAATGCAAAGAACATAAACATGAAAACATACAAATTCTGACTACAGTCAATTTAAACAACTTAGGTTATTCATTAAGTTTTGAAAGGTTTTATTGTTTTTTAAAAAGTCATTATGGCTCTAAAGCTTTTGTAAAACTCTTTTCCTGCTATATTTTTCCTAGAATTCAATATCCTATTGAATAAAAGCTTAATTATTAAAATAAGTTCATCGTTCAAAGGTGTCATGTTAAAAAATGTTAAAATACAGGACAAACGTTTGTTAGAAATTTAATATTTCTGTTATTAATATTATTTGAAAGCTAAACAGCCAAATAGGAAACAACAATATAATCTGGAATTATGCAAACTAGAGCTATACAACCTATCAAAATATCCATGTTTAAAATATCTTTAAAAAAATTTTTTTCAGATGTAGAAAAGCCATAACCTGAATATGGAAAAATAAATCAGAATCAAATTAATTCCAGTCCATACCCATTTTGGGGATTCATGTTATTTCAAGTGACCTTGCTCTGTACTGTAACCACATTCTAGCTACATGTATCAACAGCCCAGGAGAAATAGTTGACCACCAGCCTAAAGCAGTAAGCAGAAAACAGAGCTTGGGCAGAATTAGCCCTTATTCTCTGACCCTAGACCAACATGCACAGGCACTTGAGACCACACACAAATGTGCAGTCCACAAACTAAGCAAAAGGAGAGAGGATAAATAGTCAAGAGTTTAGGTATCTCTTCAAATGACACTTGATAGTAAGGCCATAACAGAAGTAACCGGTTAGACCTTTGAACAGAGGCTGAAACTTTTAAAAAGCCAGTGCCAGGGTGTTGACCCTTTTTCACACTAAGTCTAACTGTAAACCAGCTATATTTTTGTGAACATAAAGACATACACTGTAATATTAGGAGACCAAGGTGGGGAACAAAACAGTAAGTTGCGAGAAGTCTTGCCAAAGTTGACAGTTTAACAGATGTATACCACTTGGCACATCAATACATAAAGAATGCCATCACCAAGTAGAGATCTACATTTTCAAATATTTTTATCAAAGCCATTAAATTATATCTTCCACTGTTACCTTTTCCTTCTCTCTTAATGGCTTCCATTTTCTACAAGGGACACTGCCAGGAAGTATTTCTCTGAGGTTTAACACTCACAATATACTTAAATAAAAATACACAAACTTTTAAATATATTTAAAAAAAAAAAA